CATGTATTGGGTCAGCAAAAGGAGTGATCTTTTAATTAGTCACTCTGCCTTGCCTTTGGTCTTGGTGATCCATGTACACTTCCTACATAGATATTTTGGAGCAACTAGTGCTTGAAAGCCTCTGTGTCCTGGCTCAGTGCACAGTCAGCTCTCTGGACAGGCAGTCATTTAAGACTAAAAAAGACAGCTCTAGAGAAGTGTGAGCTTACTCTGATTGCTTTCTGAACTGACCCAGAGACAAGCAGGCTTAATAACCATGTCCTGCTATCATGATTGATCACACTAAGCTCACGAACTCCTGGTCTGAAGCCAGGGTAGAATGAGTACAGGGTGCCTGCACAAGTCCTGTATACACAGCTTAAAATAACCACTGGGAACAGCGGTGGAGAGTCGCTAGTAAAATTTAAATTGGCACTTCAACTTTCTGTTGAAGTAGCATATATAGGTAGGTAATTCCTGAATAGGGACACTTCACTAAAATTGGGATAAGAATATGGCCCATATCACAGTTTCTATATGTGGAGCAATTCTCTTCAGTATTCCGCTGTGTTGCAGTATATGCTTGCTGCAAAGAGAAAGGAAATAGGACTTTTTTTTTTTTTTTTTTTTTTTTCCTACTAAAAGTGGCTAGAAAAGAAGTAGGGACTTATACTGAAGCAATGAATAAGCTTTCTCATGGTGAGATAGCTGGGTAAACTGCCCAGGGAGCTATAGTGTCTCCTTCACTGGTGTTTTTTTATTAGGACATGTCACAGCTGTCTGTCAGGAATGATTTATATATAGCTTATCCTGCCTTAGAGCAGAAGCAGACTGACTGACCTTCTCGGATCCCTTCCAGACCTGTTTTCTGTGACTCTCCAGCCTAAGCACTATAGATATGAAGTAAGCTATTACATACTATGTTCCTTTGTATTCTAGGGGCACAACCCCTACTTCCTATAATTTTAACTTCTTTGTGAAAACAGTTTCATTAAATATAATGACAGTTTAATGCACATTTCTTTAACCTAGTTACAGTATTCTCATTCATCTATTACTCTGCTGTGCTGGGACAAAGAGTCACCTTCAGTTTTCTTTTTTATCTGCAGTTCAAAGTTCTGCCAGAGTCCAGGGTCAGGACTCTGACCATCAATAAAGTAAAGGTGAAAGGTAGAACTGATCACCTAACAGTGACGGTTGTTCACATGTTGTTAATTGAGATTGGAAGCTAAAGACAAGTCAAAATGTAAGAAAAAGCCATAGCACAGCCAAATGGGAAAGAAGCAATGCACAAAATGTTTTCTGCAACATCTGAGTGACGCACTGCTGTTAAGGAGTTCAGCACCATTGACAATCCTGTCAATATAGCCCTGTTTTCCTCATACACAACTGTGTAAGACTAAATCCGGTGATTCAACATTATTTATTTATTATTATTATTGTTGTTGATTTATTTATTATTATGCTTCTTCCATTATTTGCCCTCTACAAACTGCACTGGGTGATAGGCAAAGGCAGACTACTTGAAGGTGGTATATTCTAATGTTGCCAAAGATCTCTTGAAAGTAAACATAAATTGTGGTATATGGTGCCATAAGCAGTACTTCCAGTTTATTACTTATGTCTGGTTCTTACTGTTTTCAAAGAACATAAATTTGTTTGCTGTTTTTTATCAGTTCCACTGAGTGTTTAAAAAGCTGTACCGGCTTTTCCCCAATGTCTGCAGCTTAGCTTATGTAAGACATTTAATGCACTCTTTTCTGTTACTCTGCTCATTGTCTGAACATCTATTTCAAACAAAACGAGTAAGAATTAGATTTTACGTGCTATTCATGTACTGTTATATAAACTGGATATCCTGGCAGATCCTTGTGTGCCCCTGAAATTGTTCTACTGTGTTGGCAAATTAATTGATACCACTATAACAGAATGCTTTCTGTTCAAAATCTTATCACTGCTATGCACATCAATTATGTTTGTATGCTTTCTCTTAAGAGATGTAAACAAATAAATTATCCTTCACAATAAGCCAGTCCTAACTGTATTTTTGTATTGTTTTTTTTTTTTTTTTAAGTTTGCAGATTATCTGTGAGATGTTTATGAAAGAGTAACGCAGGGATTATTATGGTCAGAGTCACGATGACTGGAATGAGGCCATTCTGGACCAAGTATTTTCAGGTCTTTGAGACACACTTGAATTGCTGAGCTTAGCAACAGTCTTCCCACCACAGAGCTGACAACATTTGAGTTAGAGTATCTTCATCAGTGCTTGCTTTTACTTCTCCTTCTGGCCAAGTTTGTATCAGGTCCTCAATTCCTGTTCTCAAATGCTTTTAAGTTTTGATAACAAGTGGGATAAAAGAGTGATCCATTGAAAAGTGCATGTCATTTAAGGTCAGCTTCCACCTGCCACAGGAGCTATAGTGGGGGCACAGGCTATGTGTATATCCCCAAATAGAATAGATCAGAGTCTGTTTTCTCGGAAGAAGCATGGCTTGTTTTATAAACATACAGTCATACTATCTTCTTCTCAGCAGGTTGCTTCATTTGCACTGTTGTATATATACATATAAACCTTGGTCTGTTCATGTCCCTACACTACATCCAGCTGTAAGTGTGGAAAAACTGTCCTGGGCTAAAGCCATGTCAAGAAGCATGCTAACAGTTACATAATTACTGTTAATTATTTAATTCAATGACATGAGTTAGTTACTTGACAATTTTTGTGTTAGCTTCCTGGTCCTTTGTCATCAATTTGCATTGGTATAGATTCAGTTTCTGCATAACATACAAATGATATGAGTGGCACAAAATTTTGGATTGAAAGCATTTTAAAAAGGAACTGTATACTTCCATCATAATAACAGAAGCAACCCTTTTGCTACTGTTTTCCCTCACGGGCAGTGTTTCCTCTGGATCCACATCAACACTATGGTAGTTCATACTCCCAAGTGACAGAACCAAACCTACGTAGAATTACAGAACTACAAGAATTTCAAATCAGCAGCATTAACAACATCCTTTTTTTTTTCATTATACAAGATCTGGTATGATCTGTATCTCTCAATTTACTTGTCCTTGTGCAATCACAGGGGAAGATACAGGTATGCTCCAAGGACCCAACAATTTACAACCAGGCAATTTAATTAAAAGTTGCCACAAATGAGTGTCTGATGTTTAACCAAGTGCCACAACTCATTTTCTCTGCTGGACATTGTCCAAAGTTAATTGCACCTGAATTTCAACAGAAATTGAAATGTTGCTGGAGTTTTTTTAAAATACAAATGCTCTTAGATAAACCAATTAATATAAATTAGTAGTTGAATTACTATTTGAAGATAGGAAACCAACAGGTTTCAGTAACAGTTATGGCGACCGACTACATTATCTGCTTGTGTATCTATATAATCGGTTAACACTTTGATTTTGTATTGTACCCACATGGGAAATTTGGTCTTGTGAGTCTTGCAAAGGGTAAGCTGAGGACCTCTGAATTGCCAACCCAATCATATTTTAAAATGGAATGTCACATATCAGCTTTCTTACATCTTGCAGTTCTTCCATGTGATGTCCACACTGTTTCTCTCCCAGAATTTACTGAACACTGCCTATCTTTTTGTCAAGCAAGAAGAGCTGTTCTTTTCTCAAGAGAAATTGCAGCTAAAAATTGCCAAATATTTGCATTTTTTATTATTTATGTCCTAATACTAATGCTAATATTTCCTGAACTCTCATATTTAAGAAAAAACTTAATTGTGACCTCCTCTTATTTCATCACATTAGCTAACTGAAGAGATTTTCCTTTTGAATTTGCACCAAATTTTTAACAAAAACAATAAGAAATAAATAATTGGAGTAACAAAAATAACTTCAGCAATGGAATCATTTTTGTTGTGTCAATCTGAGGATTGCACTGTTCTCATCAGTATGCATTAGATTTATTAGCTTCTGAAGTATACATAGTCAAAAAGCATGTGGCAAAGCACTTATACTGCTCTTATTAGCATTAATGAAACTGTCATCACTAAGTCCCTTATCTTCAAGCTGAGTACCTTATACTTTTGAGTGTTTTTGTGGTCCTGCATCTTTTTCTGTAGTGAAAAAATCAGAAAAGTTTCGGAAATTGGCTTATTTTCCTCTGGAATGGCAAAGATTCCTCTCTAGGGTAGGTGAAGAAAATCTAGAATCAGGGACAGAAGGGCCAGAAAAAATCTCATGTTCCTTACAAAAGGTATGAGGGACAGATAGTTGTCCTTTATGGTTCAAAAAAGACAACAACAACAACAAAACAAAACACTGTAAATTACCTTGCACAGACTGAGGGTGACAAAAAGCTGCTGATCTCTTCAAGATGAAGCATCATCAACATTAAAAAAAGATAATGACATGGATGAATTGAGGGAGTGGAAAAGCACCATGGTACAGTTATTAATGTTAATGGCAGACAAACTACATTGAGATATATCCTAGAGTGATTCTGTGTATATTACTTATATACCATTTTAGTAATTATCCTAGTAGTTTAAAGATAATCTGAGTTTTGATTATATTTCACTTTTGAGATTCCTATTTCATTAAAAAAGAAAATGCAATAACAACCAAAGACAGCACCTAGTGACAACTTCTGTATGCTGAAATGGCAGAGCTTTTCATACTACTGGCATGCGTAATATAAGACTGAAATTAAGAAACAGAACTATTTAAATGTTTATTTTTACAGCACAGCTGTCTATTTCAAAATGTTGTTTGCCCAAAAAATAAAATGTTCACATTGAGAATGTTTCTGGTGGGAAATTATCAGGCCTATTCAAACTCAAAACACAATGTTTAGTATTGATTTCTCTACAATGCCATCTAAAGTCCTAAATTCTGAGTTATAGATGGGAATTCAGAGTCAGTTTCATTATGGCTGACATTAGCAGAATTAAGCATATGGACATAAGTAGGGAGAAGGAAGCATATTAGAATGATCACTTTGATATTTCCAGATCAGAATTCTCTTTTTTAAAAAAATGTCTCTCTTGAGAGAAAATTAAAGTTTTATTATTTCAGATAAAAACATTATAGAATGTCAGAGTTTCCCACAGGATAAAATTTGGATTTCCAGCCAGCTCAGCAGCCACTTGTGTTCTCTGGAGCACAGTTGCCCTGGAGTCCTCAGCCGTTAGCAAGAATTCTCCTGGGAGACAAGAAGCCCTCTCATTAGCAAATACTGCTACCTCTCTATTTTAATTACAGATTTTAATAGAAGAAGAGATATCAGCAACAGTGCAGCTTGCTTGCAAATATATGGACTGAATATATTTTAGATTATGAAAAGATTAAATATAAAAAAGGGGGGAAAAAAAATCAGGAGCAGTTTCTTCTACTCTTCACACAGAGCAGTTAAACTGCATATGCTACCCATAATGTAAAATCTTGTCAACTGTATTTACCGTCAGGCTGATTTTGAAATCATTTGACATTTGCCAAAGTGTAAGATCTTTTCCATTACTTCAATTCAATATCTGTATTGATCTGTATGATAGAAGACTCCTCATTTTTAAACCAATATTCACCTTGCAAAGAAGTTAAAAAATGTGTCAAAGCACAAAATAGCGTTCAAGTTTAGGTAGAAACAAACAGAAGATTGATTTAAAGGCATAGATCAACCTATTGACTCTACCTCTGAATCCCAAAGATGGTCTTCTGTTATCTCAGCTTTTGATTCTCTTTCTGATGTTCAAATGAAATGAAAAGTTTGCTGGTTGCTTTTGTTTAACGAGACCTCTAAATTAGGAAATGGATTTTTGTGCTTTTCTGGTTACTGAGGGCGTGCTGACAACCTTACACGCTAGTTCAATACGCATGCAGAAAGGTGCAAAAAGTAACAGTTGTGACCTTATAAGAGACTCTCAGACAGAATGGCATTTCCAGCTCCCAGCTCCTGAAATGTGGTAGAGTAATGAATGTAAGGTGTTCACATGCTCACACTTCTCAATGACCATGGAATTAAAATCAAAAACAGCATTGCTGCAGACTGTGATGGGTCCTTGGAGAATCTGCAACTGTTATGCTTACAAATGTCATGCTTCAGGGTCTCTAGTCTCTCTGAGCACTAATGTAGTTTTTCTGGGTGTTCCTCCCTTGGGCCAGACACCCTGTGACATCCATCACCAATCCAGCTGAAGTTTCGCAGCTCCTGAGTCTGCTACACGTTGCACCAAATAGGGGCTCTCAGCAAGCCTGATGGGCTTTGGAATGTTCTAATTTTCCTTTGGAAAGCAGAGGCTTTAAAAAAAACAAGTATGATTCAATGTCTGAGAAAGAAAGAATTACTGCCTAACCAAAGGATTTTGCAGTATAAAAAGCCTATACTCTATGTATATGTATCCACTGCTGTTTTAATGGAGGGTTGCAAAGGCATTCCTTATTCAGTCCCAGCTCCAGGGATGAAACTGTTGGTTATTGGTCTGCACACAGGCAATCTTCCTTTTGCGTTCCTTTTGTTCACAAACTGCTGTGCCTGCTTGCCCTTGTCTTTTCATCTGGAAGAATAAAATCTGTAATTTGTCAAACTGTCCCCCAAATAGTATGTTTTCTTACATAATCTTCTAAGCAAATACAGTGTGTTTTGCTCTTGATTAAAGGTGCAAAGATCTTCATTACACTCTTAAAAAAAAAATACAGGCATATTTTTAAGCATTCGTACTGTGGTATCTTTAATATTCGAACACAACTGCTCTATTTTCAACCGGTTTGTTTAGGCACCCTGCACTGTTGAAAGACACTCTGCAAGCACAGAAATTAGCTGAGCTTTCACAAGCTGTTAGACTGTATCAGATGGTCTCTGATGTGCTAAGCCATATTGGAAGCAGGTCATGGAGACTTGAAAGCCCATCTCACTGGCATCAAGCTGGACAGCCTAGGAAGGTGGGCTTTAAAATAAAGGACTTGGGGGTGGGATACAAAATGGCATTGCAACTGTCTGGGGACAGGGCAGATCAACCAGAACAGTGACAAATGCTCTTTAGTTGCCTCCCATGATGCGAGCCAGAAAACCAATCACTTCAAGGGTGGGAGGATCCTCTTGAATATTTCTAAGGAAACCTGCATCTTCTGCTCCCATTTCTTCTCTGAAGTTGCAATATACCAATGCATACAGCACAGGAAATAAACAGCAGGAATTCAAAATCTGTTGTGGTTGCAGGGCCATGATCTCATTGCAATCACAGACACATGGTAGAATGAATGATCAAGGGACCAGAAATGATAGCTGAAAATGATAATAGCATATGAAACTGACAACAGCAAGAAGAATAAGATTAGAGCAATTTAAGGAACCTTAAATTCCCTGTTCTGGTTTCTAGTATAATGTGATCACTAGATTATATCTTCGTTAAGACTATATCTTCATTGTGTAAGAATGTCTTTCTTCATAAGAATAAGTAAATTATTTACCTATATATAGAATCATTTGAGTTGGAAAGGATTTTCAAAGGTCAACAAGTTCAAATCTCAAGGGTCATTTAGTCCAAACTTTTTACTTATATCCAATCTAAAGTTCCCTTTTTTTTAAGTTTGAAATCATTTTCCCTTCTGCCTCCTCTGGGTGCGCTCCAACAGGTCCACATATATCTTTTACTGAGGACTCTACATCTGGACACAGTACTCCAGATGAGGTCTCACAAGCACAGAGCAGAGGGGCAGGATCACATCTCTCACCCCGCTGGTCGTGTCTCTTTTGATGCAGCCCAGGATACAATGAGGGCACATTGCTGGCTCATGTTCAGCTTCCCATCCACCAGTACCCCCAGGTCCTTTTTGGTGACTTTGTGCTCTATCCTTACATTCCTCAGCTTGTACTGATAGTGAGGGTTGCCACGACCCAGGCACAAACCCTTGTACTTGAATATGTTGAACTTCATGAGGTTCTCCTGGACCCACTGCTCCAGTCTATCTAAATCATGTCCGAGGATGTTGTTCTGTCACTCTGGTGTTCACTGCCTCCTGAGAGGAATAATTTGGGGCATTTAATTTCGTGAACATGTAGAATTGTTTTCAAGACTTGCCACTCATTACATGCCCGTGAAAGCTAATATAACTCAGTGTATTCATGTTGAATCATAGCCTTTGACATCGAAAAGGCAAGTTTGATAAGTCTACATCCTTAAACAGTACACTGAATTCAGAGTATTTCTTTTACATATAAAAAATCATGCACACAAATAAATAAATAAAACTACTGAAGTAAAAGGAGAAAGGATACAATAATCTTAGGAGGGGAAAAAAAAGAGAATAAGGAGTGAAGCCTCACACGAGGAAATGCTTTGTTTACATAGAGGCCACAGGGCATGACACACTGTTCAGTTTATATTTCAGTATAACTACAAGTGAAGTAACATAATATGTTGATAATTAGAATTTTAGGAAAAAATTTAGTCTGGCAAAATCTAATCTGAAACAGTTTGTCTCCAGTATCACTCTGTAACTACAAAGTTACTGCTGATTTATCCTTTAACACGAAGCATAGGATAATTGATGCATTCTATTAAATGGGTTGTTTTATTTTTTAATGAAGAGAGGTTGCTTGCTGTTAAGGATTTTGTTGAGATTTATCCCTCATGTTATTCCCTTGAAGATGGTAGATAAAATAGAGTAGTGTAGGGCCATCTTGTGTCTTTGTAAATCTGATTTGATTAAGTAAAGCCAATAGCAGTTCTATTGCACTGTTTATTTTACCAAAATTTTTTTTTTTCTTCATCATATTTTATACATTGCTGGTCTTCTCGGATTGCATACTTTGATGTTAGATACATGAACCTTTTTATAAGACAGATATCACAATGTATCCTTTAGCAGAAAGTCATGTATAACGGTCTGGACTCTGAGGAAAATCTACTAATGCAAATATGGAGCAGAGCCACAGACAGTACCAGTTAACGTGGGAAAAAAAAAAATCAGTCTTCTGTTATTCTTTTCCACTCCTGCTCAAGTGCAGCCATTCTTGTGAGTTTGTATTCATCCTACACCTGACATTTCTACGTAGATACCACAACCAGTCAACCATATGTGGGAGCTAGGAGCAACCATTGACAACACTTTCCTTATCATCTGAAGAGAATTTCAAGATAGTTCTTCAGATAATTAAAGGGTAATGTACCCAAGACATTGCCATAACATATGCTATAATTTGTTGTCTAATTACCAGAAGGCCAGATATGTATGTTTGATATGAAATAATGCCTGAGGAAAAAAAATAAAGGGAGGGAGGAAAGTGTTCAATTATTTTTGGGGTAATACAACTTCATGTGTGATTAAGATTGGCTTTGTGCCACCAGATTGATTTCTCATGGTTTTCAGCCTGAGTGGGAGGAAAGAAAGCACCAGAGTAACATACTGCCAAGATGCCCAAACTTTTGAATCTTCTTACAAGACTGCAAAAAAAAAAAATATATATATATATATACACACACACACACACATATATATTGTGGAAACCTACTTGTGAGATTTTAAGTACCACAATGTAACAAACAAGTGTACGTAGCTACAGAATTGCAATGACTGCTTTGGTACCTTATCTATAAATCCTCACACATCCATCTGTGAATGAGCAAAGGCCATTTGTGAAGTGGAATTGTATAGCATGTTAGAGAAAATGCACAGGATCACAGAATGACGGAGAAATCGCAGGGGTTGGACTCAATAATACCTTGGGGTCCCTTCCAACCCCTGCAACTTTGCTGAAGCAGGTTTCCTACAATAGGCCACACAGGTAGGCAACCTGAGAAATCCTGATTATCTCCATAGAAGGAGACTCCACAACCTCTCTGGACAACTTGTTCCAGTGCTCTGTCACCCTTACGACAAAGAAGTTCTGCATGTTTGTACAGAACTTCCTATGTTCAAGTTTTAGACCATTACTCCTTGTCCCATTGCTGTGAATCACTGAGAAGAACTGGCCTCGTCCATATGACTCCCACCTCCCTTTAGATATCTATAAACACTAATCAGATCCCAAATTCATGCTGAATTCATTGAATTATTCATGCTATATTGTCATAGAAGATTCAGACTTGTTCTCAGTTTTGCAATTTTTCCCTTTAAATTGAATTTAGATTGACATTACCATGTTATCTAGCTTTGAGAAATATAACAACACCTGAGTTACTACATGGCTATATCAAAATAACCAAGGGCCTAAGTCATAAGAAAGGCTGATGGGAGCTGGGATTGTTCAGCCTGGGGAACAGAAGGCAGAGTGATCTCCTTGAGACCTTTTCAGTACTTAAAGTACACATGAAAAAAGAGAGAAATTGTTTTACACACTCTGATAGCAATAGGACAAAGGAGAACGGTTTTATGCTGAAGAAAGTAGATGTAAATTAGATTTTTGGAGGAATTTCTTCCCTACAACAGTAGTGAGGCACTGGAACAAGTTGTCCAGAGAAGCTGTAGATACTCCATCCCTGCACGGGTTGTTGGGTAACCTGATCTATTGAAAGCTATCCCTGCCCATGGTAGGGATTTGGAACTAGGTAATCTTTAAGGTCCCTTACAACTGAAACTATTCTATGATTCTATGAGAATTTGTTCAGTGGTTATAAATTTCAAGTTTGAACCAATAGCCATATTGTTATGACTTTTATAATATCAATATTAAACTTTAGTAAGCAGTCTGGCAAGATCTCACATTTTTAAAGCATTTGATGAGAAGAACTTCCTTTAGAATCAGAATGAGACACAGAAAATTTTGATTTCTTGGAAAAAAAAAAAGTGTATTGACTTTTCTTCATCCCTAGAATCGTTTGCATCATGAAAGCAAAAGCTGGCTTCTCTCACTGATATGTTTATGAGGAAAAAAGGTCATATAATCTATACTCCATTGTCCAAGGAGGTTTCTGTTTTTGCTCTTGTTCTTTGTTTGTTAGAAAAAAATGCTTTACTTTGTTCTTGTATTTAAAATATTAATCAGTTTTGTATAAACTTGTAACTGTAATTTTAAAATGTCCCAGAATTTTCTTATTCATTTCCTGCAGAGATCATCATCAAAAAAGAAGTCTGTCTCATTTCCTCATGCCAAATTTCCTAAGGAGATCCAAGGCCTATGTATCTTTGCTAAAAATCTCCATGAAAACTGGGAGAGCCATCCCTGTTACTGGATCCTAACAAAGAAAAGCACTTGTGTTTCCCTTTTAAAGGGAAGGAGAAGACAAAGGTCATGAAAGGATTGTCTTTCAGAAAGAACACTTTGTTTTGTTAGAAGGTGAGATACTCAGAAGTTATTG